TTTCATTTTGTAGGTACGTTTTGTGAAATTCTCAGTCAGACAGTATTTTGATGTGCTATTGCGTCGACGGACTAGGCATTTTATTCTGTACTGCTTCGTTTGACTGAAGCCCCTACCCTCATTTTCGAGCACAGTCCGTGAGCGTATTTGTTTCAGCTACTGTCAAGGTAGTTGTAAGTAGCAGTAATATCGATAAAGATCGATTCAATCCACCCACGAACTGACTCGAAGCGACGTCTTGGACACAGGTGAAGTTATTTGGGATCACACATTCGAGACTTACGCTGTCTGAGTGCTCAGTAGACCGAGGGTGAACTCAAGCATTGCGGAAGTTATATATGACTGCTCTCCCTGCTCCAGGGCCTAGTTCCCGGAAAAGTCTGCCGACAAAGAACACAACGGTTTTATTGCGTACAAGCGAGTGAATGCGAGAAGTACGACGGCCTCATGCCGTAAATTCAGGTGGCACACTCTGACCGGCGTCTGGTGGAGCTTGAGTGTCTCAGTAAGTTTTGGGCGTAGACTGGAAATATCCAGGAATCATCTTCATCAATTTTGCATGGACGTTTGCTATCTACCTCCAATTCGCTGCACTGGACAAGCGAAATAAAAATCTGCTTTCAGAAGCCTAACACTCGGTCGACATAGAGTCAGTGGGTGGCGAAAAAACAGTAGCTCGGGTAATTTTGTACCGAAAATCCCAACTATATCCAACGTTCACAGAAAATGAAGCATCGCACTTTCCTCGTGCACTGTTCATTTTACAGTCTCTGCGTCATTGCTTCCCGAAGCGATACCCTTTGTTTGTCGCACTTCAGCGACTCTGATACTCTCCTTTCTATTAACCTTTGGGCTGATGTCACTTTCGGGGTTGACACTAAAACGCTTTTTGTGGGTAAATCACTTGTTTCAAACCGTGTGGATACGCTGATGTAGTGCGCGACAGATCCAGGGGGCGACCATCGCCCCACTAAAATGGTGGAATAGCCTTATATCGTTATTATTATATTGTTATACTGACGCCCAAAACGAAGTCGGGGACTACATGTACAGAGCTTCATATATATAGCGTAGGCAGCAATAACCTTCTGGAAATTCTGACGCGTTCTGTTGCGCCACTGGCAACCGGCATTCGGCCAATACTGGGTCATGATTGGCTGTTGGGTCCAGAGTTTCGACCAATCAGAGCACGGCTTGATTACCGGCCGGCAAGCGTTCCGAATTTCTGGCCAATCTTACGCGGAATGGACTTTTTGGCCGTAGCAGCACCTGAGTGCGAGTGGTCAAGAAGGACCCGTGTGGAGTTCCGCCTAACATAGAGCCATTCTCCTCCAAGCGCTTGCGAATTGGCGATGAGTTCACCTCAAAACACAACGTCGAAACGGGGTACTGTCAGCTGACTGTGGGAACAACTAGTTTGTCACTGATTCAACGAAGGGATATTTGGTTGTACTTAACACAATGTCAGATTTTGGGTTGGAACTGAGCAGTCCGTGCGCATACAGTGAATGTCTGAGCTTAGTTATGGCCTGTTGCATTGTGAGGCGTAACAGAAATCATTTTGTAAGCGTTCAGACAGTGTCCTTGGAGCGCGCACTGGTAGGACCGTGATCACTAGGCGTGTAAGGAGCACAGAACACACCGGTCACACAAAGACTAGCTTCACTAAGACGCGGTGAGGGACGCTCCACGTCTGACGAAAATTTTGAAACCTCCCTCATACATTTGTCCCTAAAATTCCTAGAGGACTTGTGGATATCTTGATAAATTGGGCAAGAGAGACCAAAGACGGACCTTCCCAGGCAGACTCGGAATTCTTGCTAACTCGCTAACTCTGGATTGCTCATTCTATAGTGAGCAACCATAAAGAGACTCAAAACTGAGTATCAAGCCGGTGTTCCGGGGTGGACAGAAGCCCGTCACTTGCAATCGCAAGGTTTTAGGGCTAGGAGTTATCTTGATTCAAAAATTCGTGAACGATAACTGCACACTGTGCTTCTAAGCTTGTCGGAGTGTAGGCATGGTGTCAAAGCCCCACGGTGTGTACTCGTGTGTTCCATGATGTGATACGGCCGCATTGAAAGAGGAGCCAACGTTCTCAACTCAGCCAGTCACTGCATGCGCGGAAGATTGCGAGCGATGAAACGTTGGAAGAGACCTGCCCAGTGTAAATGTGCTGTCAGATCTTAATCCACACGGAGCCCCTCGCCCACATTGGTAAGTGTAGAGGGACCAAACACGTGATGGGTTGGTCGGTAGATCGCGGTGGAGACCAAACAAATCCAATGCTCTTTTCAGTAGTCTACTTAGATGACAAGCCATCAGAATAAAAAGAGGGCGGTAATACCGGACACTGATAAGACGGCTGAGGGACTCGATGGAATCACAGACTCGTAATATGACGCACAAAAGAATGAAATCACGCATCCTTAGTTATACAGAGCTCGTGGCGATACAGAGATGGTCGCGGTGCGCACAGCCAGAACCGAAATCCCAGGTCCACGACAGACTGCGACTCTGCAGGAGTGGGTGATTGGGCTGGAAAGCGAGACCTAAGCTATCGACTACACCCGATCACCAATGACTAACGTGTAAGATTCCAACTCCCACACAAAATTAACCGTGAAGCGATTGTACTACCTTCGGACAAACCCACTTTGTGTCCACAACGACCGCAACTCAAATGAGACCAGTTTCATCTTTCAAGCAACACAGAGGACAAGCCGTGTGTTAAAAGGCGAGATCGATGCCATAAATTATTGAAGAAATCAGGTCTGCAGAAAGCAGCAGACTTAAAATAATGCAAACATGGCGCCCTGGACTGGATGTTAGCCGTTCGCAAAAACCCTGAAAAGCAATAGTGCCTGCCCTTTCACTTAAAAAACCAAGCAACCCATTCATACATCCTTTCACATTATCTTTGCAAGCAGGTTTCGAGTACCTACACTGCCTAGCACCGCGCAGTTGGACTTCAGTGGTCAAAGGAGGGGACATACTGTCTCGGGTGTATCAAGCTACAGTACGGGCTGTTTTGTTGTATGGCTGTGAGACTTGGCCTATTCGAGCAGCGGACCTGAGACGTCTTCAGGTGTTCGATAATCGTTGTCTCAGAACCATAGCTCGTGTGGGTTTGTGTCGGCGAATCCGTAATGAGGTAATTAGAAAGCGCGTTTTCGGTTGTGTAACGAGTACTTCCATTGAAGAATGTGTCCAGCATCAGAAGCTACTTTGGTTGGGACATTTTTGCGTATGCCGAACGATCGTTTGCCGAGGAGAGTACTGTTTTCTATGCCCAATTCAGGGTGGTGTAAACAGAGAGGTGGCCAACCCTGGACTTGGCAGAGGAGTATGAAGGAGATCACGAAACGCATGGGTGCTGTTGCTGACACTCGCCCTCCAGGATGGGGACCGCGTGATCCTCACTGTGCCTGGTTGGAGACACTACAAGATATGGCTGCCAACCGATGTCAGTGGCGTTCTTGTTGTCAGTTTCTATCCAGATCGCCGGAGTGAATGTCTGGAGGTGTAGGCACCTCGGAATGATTGTGTTAAGCTAGCTCGTCCGCCTTCACTCTACTCTTTACACTAAGGCTTTCAAATAAATCACGGTTGTACGGCAGTGAAGCATCGGTGTTGATCACTGATGTCATGCTGTCGATGATGACTGCTTCCGGGGTTCCACTTACACCAAGAATACCATCCATAGTTGCCAGCAGGTACATTGTTGTCAGTCGGGTAAATCATCTGTCTCCCTTATCTTTCTCTGGACTAACACCACATGAGTGGTGGGTAGATGAGACAAAAAGGTGTGAGTTGGTTTAAGGATTCCCGGATCACAATTTGTTTTTGCTTGAGTGGCACTCAGGATAAGACACCGTAAAGGATTGAACGCACCCTTCACTAAATCGGAAAAGTATACAAACCGGTTGCTAAAAATCGTTATTATCAAAACGGAAAGTAATCAGTCGTTTGAAAGCTTCGCAGTTGTTCGTATTTAGTAGTTTCCCGCGTCGTGACAATTGTACGGAGTCGGTATTGGTTCGAAACGAAAACCAACTCTTACAGGATTAAATCTTCGGATCGTGGCTGTTACATCTGACTGCTGTCCCCGCTCCAGTGCCTGGTGCCGGAAAAAGACTCGCCGACAACGAACACATCAGGTTTATTGCGAAAAAACCGGCTGCAAAAGTTACAATGGTCTCGTGCTATCTAAAGGGAATGTTTCGACATTGATGTAGGCTGTCTGATCGACGCTCAGTGATGAAATGATGATTCTATGAAATCCCTGAACACGCTTAACATAGGCGGTCGTGCTTCTGTGGCGTGCTGAAATGACTGAGTGATTCCCTGTCCTAAATGCTTGCCGGCTTCCCTATTGAAATTTTTGTGGCGTTTTAGGACTTCAGTAGGGTCCCGGCATTCTGGAATCTGACCTTCCAGACAATCGCTACATTGTTCATCAATGCCCTTCGTGGTACGTCAAGCGACCTTTGAAGTGGTGGCGACGAAAAGTCTAGAAAAGACAGCAGGTATTCACAGAACTGTCGGCTGAAAGCTACAAAAACACTGCACACTGGCCCTGTGTACTCTTATTTATTTCCACGAACGACGTGAGGAACGAGGGATAATGGCTGAAAGCAACGTTTGGAAGGTAATTCAGGGACGGTGAACATCACCGTGGACGAACCGATAATATCGGTTTCACATGTATTCTCGAACGCAGCGGTACTACGAACCCTTAGTTACTTAAGATTACTGGTTCTCATATGCTATTATCCATGCTTGAATGAGCCTAAAGACCAGTTCGATGACCGGACGAGGACTTGAAGAGGATAATGGCAGACTCCTCTCGTATAGATGGGACACAACTGGGGACTGTGCACAGTGAACGCCACAATACCCCATAGGTCAATCTGAAAGAGGCCTTCGGAAATTACGCTTTCAAAATTTGACTACTTGTAAGTAGCATAGTGCATAAACAGTTAGAACATCGGTGATAGCTATGACGTCTTTTTTACTTCAGCGTGTATATAATGGCACATGACAGAAATAAAAAATCTGCGATGGATAAACCGGGACAAAGATTTACGGGCGAGCAAAAAGGCAGAAATGCGATCCAATCGGATAGTCAGTATGTAAACTTGACACGAACAAGATACTTCTGTTTGACCTGAGCCACATCGTACACGATGTACTCGTTGTATATCAGCGAACCGTTTTTCACACCGGAGTCGATTGGTTCGCCGATTGGATAAACAACACCCTCGGGATTGGTGTAATGAGATTTTGGATCAGGAGTTACCGAGCCCATACCTGCAAGATTTGCAAAAAAAATCGTATGAGAACACCTCTAAGCAAGGGATTGCGACATTTCAAATAGAGTACCAATTGGAACATCAGGCGGTCTGATGCAACACATTCAGTTGAGTAAGAACATTGTTCAGCTGTAGCACCCTTTCAGTGGCTAACTGCCACGCCACCCGAGGTTACACGAGGGCTGGGATACTGTCAGGTTGCCCAAGCCTAGACAGGAGAAGTCGAGAGGCAGAGGTCGGATTCGAACCACGGACCTTCCGGTCAGTGAATTCGCGCTCCAACCACTTGGGCCATCTCTCCCACCCAGAAGAGAGACGAGAGACTCAGCTGGGTTCCCTTCCGGGTGGAACGCGAATGAGTGTCATGCATTGGAGCTTCGATCAGCATCGTAACATCGCTGATAGAACCGAAAGAGGGTCTTTTATACTTCACCATGAAAAGCTGATAGCGAAGACAGCCCCAGACTCTTCGGCGTCACGCTCCGTTTCGCTGATACATACTTCTTGGCGTAAAAAATCCGGGCTTTCACAGCTTTAAAAAAAACTGTTGAAAAATCAGTAGTGTGTTGTAGCAATCGATGGGGAATAGACTGCCGTATTATTTGGATTAGTTCGTTCCGCGTCTAAATGTGAGAACAACCCTGTCATAGACCTAAACGATTGAGGATGCACAACGGTGGTTCCGGAAAGAATATGCCCGCGGAATAAAGGGATCGTGAGCTAGAAGACGCAGTTTGCAGTGGTATTTCTGAAAGGGCTCAAGACAAGTACGACGTACAGATCGAACAACCAACATTCACAAACCTCACACAAACAACGATATGTATCAGCGACTAGTACTTGAGCTCAGAATTCATAACGGTGGCTCTATGCGGTTGTCAAATTCCGTTCTGACAGGGCGGAGAATCCTTGGAAAATATCACCACATGAGCAGTTGACGAGGTAGGTCTTCAATGCCACTTACCCATACGGCTGTGGTACTGGCTCGGCAGTGGATCTCCATTCGCGTGAGTACATTTGTCCATGTCGCCCAGAATGACCTCGCACAGAAGCATGATACCGTAAGGCTGAGATTGGTTGGTGAAACAGTAGTTGGCCGCCTTGCTTACCATGTCCGCAAAATAGATGCCTTTGCCAAACATGTAGCCGGTGACTGGAGCCTCCGGAGGTGCGATTCGCAGACCTTGGGATCTGTCAATGAACGAGCGTAGAAAGTGTGTGTGAGGGATACTACACAGTGGAATGATTGGTCGTGGATACTGGTTAGCACGTGGTACACCTGTCTTGTAAAGATTTCAACGACTTAATTGCAGAGTTCTTCAGACTTGTAGATTTGCTTCAAAGGAGCGTTTCTGGGGTTACGAAAACTGTGCGGCTTCCTCGTGGGAAGGGTGACCAACGGAAAATTCCGTTTCGTCAACAGCGAATTTATCAAATACTTAATAAGTGGTCAGGACATGCAGTATGACACGGACTACGTTGATCAGTCCTTCGTTCGGTACCTGGCCGCCGTGATACCCTAAGGAAGCAAGAGAGGTGCGATACTGCCAGGTTGCCCAAGTCTAGACAGGGGAAGTCGAGATGCAGAGGTCGGGTTCGAACCACAAACCTTCCGGCCAGTGAATTCGTGCTCTAACCGCTGAATCATCTCGCCATCTCCCTGAGCAAAGTTTTCCAATCGATGCAACCTACATAGTTCCCAAAACCAACGTAATAAGGCAGATTGTACTTCAAATGGTATAAGTTGGACTGACCAATCGCGCATAAAAAGTGACTTTTCAATGCATTTTACAATCAAGACAGTTGTAATAATAACAATAATAAATACAATAATAATAGTGCTGGAACACCATTTCGGTAGCTGACTGCAAAGCCACAGGAAGGAAACACGACCAACCTGAGCTACTGTCAGGTTGCCCAGGTCTAGACAGGAACAGTCGAGCTCCCGAGGTCGGGTTCGAACCACGGACCTTCCGGTTGGTAAGTTCGCGCTTTAATCATCGAACCTTGTCTCGAGTTCATACCAGGAATTCGGTAAATATGCCGCCTATTACAATGGTTCAACTGGCTTATAGGGGTTACGAACAAACTGGTCTCATCCTGTCACTTCAGAAGAATCAAGGATCCCCTTCGAGGAACCCACTCTTCTGAAAGATGAAAGGCAACAGGAATCTTGCGACGAAGGTATCCGATGCCAGAGATCTCGATTTATCAGCAGAACATCAGTTTTGAATGGTGCATGTCAGAAGTGAAGTTGAGAGACTTTCCTCTTCGGACAGACTGACGGTCGAACTTGGAATATAGCTGCACGGCATTCTACACTCAGCTATTCGGTTCGATCTGTATAACGTTGCACACACACAAACACACACAAGTTCAAGTGAAACACGTCTTCCCCAAGCACTGTCGACAAAAAAAAGATAATAGACCATACTACTCATGAGTAGGGGGCACACGTGAGGTTCGTAACGTATTGAGTATGAGTGTGAATCTGAGAGTCAAGCGATCGATTCTGCGACATACACCTGAGTAAAACGCCTAATGGGTTGTGTTTTTCAGCACTGACTGGCCTTGTAATTGTCAGCATAAGCAGCGGGGGAAAATGGATAACGGTAGGCAGAAAGAGACGCTTACAAAATCCCGACCCAGTTTGTGCGTCGAGAACCGTGCCAGAGAAGCTGTTTGTTGTGTTGTGCTGGTTTGTAGTTATCGAAATGAGCTTTCTCTTCGGGCCGCTCGACGTCGAAGACGGCTTCCAGCTGTAGTGAGAAGTGACGATGCGTCGCCCCATGTGTCAATCGGATGTATTCTGCGATACGTTTGTATTCTTCCTCAGACGGGTCAAGAAGCTGAAAAGGGGAGGATAAAAACATCTAATGAGTCTGATCAGGTTAATGGTGGCTACGTACGTTGCATTCATCTAGAAGTTGAGTGCAATTTGTCAGCTAGAATCCGTGTGACGACTAATCCACGAACGCAGACTGGATGTACTTGAAGTTTCACGCCTGAACAGGTGAACAGGCTGAGGCTTGAGCAATGGGACTGGTTGGCCCGACGACTCGAACGATAACCCAGTAACCATGCTGGCCAAGGACGCTGGAAACCTACTGGAAAAATCGGACTAGTTCTCGTTGGTCTGAACAGCCCTCTTCTGGCGCAATTATTCTCATGCGTTTACACAAATGGGAGAAGCACTAGACGAGAGTACCATATATATTTGTGATGTATTAGCCAAGAGGAACAATCAGAGAAACCAAGCTTCGTTCGAAACCTTCTTCGTTCTCATGATTACCACGGGTATATTGAGCCACTTCATAGGATCTTATTCACTTGGATACGATTGCATAGGGAACATGCTTGGATTCAGTCATTTTTATCTCACGAGTGGGTACTCTCTTCTATCCTAGGAATCGTATTTGGTTTCAACTCCGAAAACGTAATATGTGAGGCGAGCATGTTTCCACTGCTCCATCAACGCACACTACACGCCCATGGATTATCACGTCTGAAAGGGTGAACGTGTTCCGACTCGAATGACGACCCAGTGTAACTGTCCTGGTTGCGTGTCAGGTCGTTCGAGTCCCAAGGACGCCTGATACCACGTCGAAACCTACTTCCATGAAAACCCGAAACAAGCACAATTAGAAGGTGTTGGCGTGACCTTGACGTGAGGTCATGTGGGGCCATCAACATGTGATATCGGCACCTGCACGATTTAGTTCGTTATCAAGCCAACATGCTAATCGGACAGCTGACTGGTCAGACAGCCTTGTCAGCAGTAGATCAGGCGTGGCACGAAGACAAGGATCCGTATAAAGCACACAACATTTTCGAATGTCCCGTTGCTGATTATGCGAGAAACGGTAAAATACAAACTTTTTAAATTCTCGGTGGGCTGACTGACAAAATTCTTACTAGAATTAATAATGTTCCACTGAATCGGGTAAGTAAACACGGTCACGAGGCCAAGAAGTCCCTTTTACAAGCGTTGCTAGGTTCCTTTAGCCAAAAGACAAATCCCCATGAATTTTGAGTCGCGGATGTGTAAGTGCACGAATTCAGGTTCTAAACACATGGATATAATGGCGCACCTCCATAACAAATTGCAAACCAGGCCATTAGGTGAGCAGCGATCACGCACGCTTCAAACAGATCCACTTTATCTCAGGCCGGCGTTATCAGGTAGTAATGCCAAAATGCGACAACTGCGCTTGTGGGTGCATTACGGGTCAGAACTGGGGTGTAAAATCTTGTCCCAGAGGTTTGTTTCAACTCGACCAGTACAGGTACCTGGTTGTTATCTGAGGCCGTACTCTTAGTTTCAAAGGTCTGTTTATTCAAAATGCGATAGGGGCCAGCTAATGCGCAGTCCTATCTTGGGGTACGGAACATTGATCACGTTCATGGGAGGAAACATCACTGTCAACATGATCAGTCACCATGGGTTCGGGACGAAATCTGACGAATAGTACTCAGTAAAATACTCAATAAAATATACTGCGACATCTCAAACTAGCTGAAATTCGCCTAAGGAATATCATAACCGAGAGGTCCGATTAGCGTTCAGCTGGGTGTTTCGTTAACACCAACCCAATTTGCAAAACGGGCATATTTCCCTAACGATATGTACGGTAAACCACTCTGTTACCTTGCGTAACCTACATAGCTCACCTGGTGGTGGTTCATTCACAGCATTACAACAGTTCCCACCCAGGATGGTCGATAACACGAGCTTACGAGCTGGTGCGCGACCTCGAAAGTTAACTTTCTATCCATAGGAACGGATTCGAACTTTGATTGGTGTTTAACCAAACGCCAGCATACCATTTGAATGCGGCGCTCTTTCGACGACACACATGTCAAAGTATACGGTACAGGAAGAAACTTAAAACAAATGCTACCCGAAGGAAGCACGAGGGCTGGGATACTGTCAGGTTGCCCAAGCCTAGACAGGGGAAGTCGAGTGGCGGAGGTCGGATTTGAACCACGGACCTTCCAGTCAGTAAATTCGAGCTCTAACCACTTGGGTCATCTCGCCCCAATCTTCTGGTTACGAACTCACACACGCGCACCGAACTGAGCAAAAAACCTTTGTCAATCTGCCTACAGTGCAGCAGTGGGGTAAACACATATTGGTGGGAACATCAACCAATCAAAAAAAAAACAAATCAACCACCTACCTTCAAATTGGTTTTCAGCTGTTTGTAGTGCTGATCTAGTGGGTGTTCTCCAGACTGTTTATCTTCCTTGAGGATGTTGTAGGCCAATTCAATCTCTAACAAATCATCTAACATGTTCAATTTATCCCTTATCATCTTTGGATTGTCCAACAAAGGAGGGGCCTTCATCCCGAAATTGTGCGGGATCAGGGTGTAGAAACGAGTGGAAGCGCTTAGTAGGAAGGTCGGATCCAGAGTGACCGGGGATCCCTTCTTCTTCTTCTTGTCAAGCAAAGCGCTCAAACTTGAGAGAACACCGAAAGCCTCGTGAATCTGACGTTTGGACAACTTGCCCAGGGGCATTTTTCGAAGGTCAAGCTGTGGGGAACAATAGAGCAAGGATGGATATAACGTACCTACCTCAAATAAAGACAGTGAGACGTGAGAAGACCATGGGAGTTTGAATTGGCTTCTTTTAGTTTGGCATGCACATCGAAAGGTTCTAGAAATGTGACTGCTTGGGGCTAAACAGAACTGTTTCCAAGCTTGTTCTCGATCGTTAAGGGGTCCTGATAATCACCAAGCGAAGGCTTTACAGGTATTAATTTACACAGCAATGACTCAGGAAAGAAGCTAGGAACCATTTCGGCTACACACTACCCTTCACATTCCTAGCGAATGGCTTCGAGCGCAGTTAGAAAACAAACCACTCTCAGAAGTGGCGCAGCCGACCACAAAGTTTACTTAATTACATTAAAAGCCTAAAAGTGAAAAGATCAGAAATTGGTGGATTGATGAGGAAGCTGGAACTGGTCTACTGCAAGCACTCTAGGGTACCTACACCTACAGGCACCCAATCAGACAGTCTGGAAAGATACTGACAGAACAAACGCCACTGACATTAATCAGCCGAATGCAAGAGGGGTCACGGAGACCCCAACCTGGAAGGCGTACCGCACCAACAACACCCAAATCCTTCATGATCTCCTTCTGACACCAACAACACCCAAATCCTTCGTGATCTCCTTCTGATCAGTTGCGGTTTGCACCATTCTGAAGGAAGTACGGAGAACAATACTCATCTCAGTATTTCGGCAAGCACAGCACATGATCCGTAGTTGATGGTTTTGTGGAAGAAGCATGCTGCACAACCGTTTTCTAACAGCACAACGCAGTATCCACGGACCGCAACAGCTATCACTTAGTCAAGGGGATGGATTCTTTGGAAATTGAATAAAAATTTGACGCGACCGACATGCATAAATGCACATCGCTCTTCGGCTGAGCAGGAAGAATGAAAAAAACCACTTGTGGACATGCACCTGTCTAGTGAAACGAAGGATACCTTACCTCAAACTCTATCATTGCCTCCTTCATCGACTCAATGTCGCAGATGAATTGGATGAGAGCTTGCAAAGCTGGCGGGAGTTTCGAAGGTTTGGTCGGGACCATTTGTTGGCCTTTTTCTTCAGCCTGGAGTGAAAGATAAAAGATGTGGGGTTACGAAGACACATGAAACACGCCTGGACAAACTTGGGTGGGGAAACGCAGTGTTTTGTTTACCTCACCATAATCCAGTTCTATTTCATAGAATTTATGAGGTTTCTTTTGAAAATTGGCTCGATCCTTCCACTCATTCCCGGTTTTCTCCAAATAGAGGTCTTCAAAAGACTGACGCGCGGCAGAAGCAGTGGTGAATTTCTCCAACTTGGTGCCACCTATTGTTGTCCCAATGCGGCCCCAAGCTCGAAACACCCAGAATGAGGCTTTGGTGTCCGCTTGCAGGGCTTGTAACCTGAAAGATTGAGAACAAACACAAGCGCCATGAAACGGCCAGTCGAACTTTATTATGGCGAGTGGAAAAAAGGATGAGAGAAGCAAGAGCGAATCAACTTACCTATAGAAGGAATTCGATCCCTTCACAAGGTCGACCATACCCAACACGGCGCTCATTGGTTTTCCCATACTGTCTCGCATTACGGAAGCGCGCGATTCCAAACCAGACTCTGGGTCAACCACGGCCCCACCCTTGAATGTGCATTTAATCACGTCATCTGCATCACGAGAGTTAAACGCTGACGATGATCCCTTCGACTCAACTACATGGAGGGGTAAAAGAGATTCGATAAGGGAAAAGAACCGAAAATATTCAGAACGCCGTGTTATCGATTACGGGAAAGCAGATTCTCACAAGCAAACATACCACGCTACAGTAAAAGCACAATCACCGACCCATCGCTACTCACCCTAACAACGCACCGATGACGTCATCCAGATTGGTGATGAAACATTCGCGATCAAACTGCCCAGCTCTACGAACAAACCAACGGCTATCTAGGCTACCTGAGTAATATATAGATGCAATCAACCTGGGGGACACACAGGTTTGAGTTCGGTCAGACAGGCCGACAATGAGCAGCGAGTCCCCGTACTAGGAGAAATCGCATGGTCAGGCATTCTGGAAGTAAAGTTGTCACGTTTCGCCACGACAGAAGTGTGGCGAACCTCAGAACCTTAATATTCATGTAGGTCTCCTGCGGAGGAAAGATCAGCTGGGAGGGATCAGTCCTCAAATCTGCACATTCCACACGGTTGATCGAGACCGCCGATACGGTTGGAATGAGTCCGGTCGTTCGTTCAGCTGTAGCACCCTTTTGGTGCCCAACTACCATGAAATCAGAAGTGAGCACGAGGACTGGGATACTGCCAGGTTGCCCAAGCAGGCGAAGAAGAGAGGCAGAATTTGGGTTCGAAACATGGATCTTCCGGTCAGTAAATTCGCACACTAACCACCTTAGTCATCTCGCCCCAATGAGTCCGGTGGCGCTAGGAAGACACCTGTTGTGCGCAGTAGTATCTTCGGGTTAGTCTAACTCGCTTTGCTTTGTGTATCAGACTGTAAGATCGAGGACCCCGTATTACCAGGCTCAAAAGTTAAAACGTTCCACTCATTCGGCAAAACTCGGCTGCCCGGTCGAGATAACAGGGCCTGGATCTGGTTGTACTCTACTGGGGAAAGCCGATATGAACCTGGTATCCAGTTCGCGGTTTCCGATCACATAAATACGGTAATAATGGATGAATTAAACTGCATCAATTTGAGGATGGAGGCAATTTGATTCCGGCTATCTGGGATAACGTTTACTATATTTATCAGCTATCACGGCTCCGGGTGTCATTCAGACGAGGGGAAAAACATGTCCCACGACTAACTGTCCAGCCTGATCAAATTTGCACTTTTAAGCGATCCCCCTCTTCCTTTTGGGCGGTTTCAGTGTCCGGATTAGTAAGAATTTAGAAACCTTGAAAAAAATACCTGGTCGTTCTGGAACCGGATTAATAAGTGACGAGGACGGTATGTTCTCAAAGGTCAAACTGAGCAGCATGGTTTGCAGGGTTGACTTTGAGAGTTCAAGCGGCGTCGAATCGAAAGTGGGACTTCCAATGAGACCAACATAGCTGCGCTCACGGGCTGTTGAGGGTGTGTATCGTACATCACATACAAGGGGCGAGATGGCCCAAGTGGTTAGCGCACAAATTCACTGACCGGAAGGTCCGTGGTTCGAACCCGACCTCTGCCTCTGGACTTCCCCTGTCTAGGCTTGGGCAAACTGGCAGCATCCCAGCCCACGTGTAACCTTCGGGTGGCACGGCAGCTAGGTGCCGAATAATTATTTAATTATTGGCTACAAAGGCAATTTAATGGGGACAATTCATTCGCAAGTCGCAGATAGGACGTTAAACTATTTCACTGACGGTTAACGGTTCTAAATATTGATCATTCAGCAGATTGGCGTTCCTAAGATCGCAGTAGGATGCAGTGTTCAAGCATACCTTGACTACTAAACGGATACACCACATACCTATTGACCGGAAAGTCTGGGGTTCGAATCTAATCCCAGCACATCGACTGCCCCTTTCTGCATTTGGGAAACCTGGTTGTGTCTCGTACCTTCGGGTGCCATGGCAGCTAGGCACTGTAAACCTATTTAGGTGAAGCTCCACGTCTGCTTTCACTAGTATGGCTTACCGCCCCCCCCCCCAAAAAAAAAACAGAACAATCACGATAATGCATTTAGGTGTGGAAAGAACGTTTGTTGCAGGAGGAGTAATTTAAAGCGACGTTTCCCCAGGAGACTGTAAAATTCAACCAATCAGTATACAATACAAATAGCTGAAAACTCACCTTTTTCCAACAAGGGCTAGATAGGTGTAGAAATACGGAATAAATCAGAACCAATTGAGGGTTGATGAATTTTGTGCGGTTGCACGCGAACATCTGAGACACAGTAACATCTCTCGAAGGAAGGTTATCAAGGGGAACGAGTTCTTCAGGACTGTCCTTAGGATGGTACCTAATTTATCCTACAACGAAGGGAGTTTTTGATAGAATACTAGAACAGCTTACATGCCTCCTAACAGTCCAACCTTGACCTTGACCAGTCTGTAACCACTCATGGTAACCCTCACACGTGACATGGACTTGTGAAACTTTGCGGATCTGTGACTGGTTGACTGGGTATCACACGGGGATCTATTGACCTGGGATTGAAACGTCTGTGTGCAAAACTCATTACGCCCCCAAATCGACTTTTCAAACCTCATCAGTGGGGGCAGATTTTGCACACCAGAAACCGGTCATGATGACTAGCGTGGGCTGTTCATAGAAGCCATCGATTGCAGTTAAAAGATGTACACTAGTATTCATCCTCATGGCTATAGACAGCAACATCGCTGTTGACGCTGATGTTTGACTGTCGTCGTACAACCACAAAGTTTGTTTGATTAGACTCAAATCCCTAAAGGGAAGTAGTGAAAAACGGAGGGACTTAGCGCTGGCCCATCACAAGCATTCTGAGGTGCCCGCACCCCCAAGCGCAAAATCAGACGACCTGGAAAGAAAGTGACAACACGAAAGCCACTGACATCGATCAGTGGCCATTTCTTGACCCGTCTTCAGCCGAGTCCCGGGATGGGTCATAAGGACTCCAGCCTGGAAGCCCAACGGCACCAACAACACCCTTCCGCCAAGCTCTACGTTGTCCAGAGAGCGAGAGCGAGAATGCAACAGTCTCAAGCTAGTTATTGGAGGGACACTGTTTGAACTTGGTCCAATGCTGACCCACGTGGTCTGGCTTTGGTTCAAGGCTGTGACGCGCTGCATATTGCGGGGGCGTTGTCTGACCTTGATCAACGCTGACTCGCGCTGTCTGGGTTTATACAAGGCTGTGACGCGCCGCTTATTGAGGGAGCGTTGACTTCCTGGCCAGCATCTAGCGGAGCTGAGAGTCTCAGTAGATTCCGGGCACTCAGTGGTTGCTTTCAGGAATCTGGCTTCCCTGATAATCTACCTTATGAGGTGATGCTGATGAGTTTTGTGGACGATAAAACTGACCCTCATATGGAGTAGGCTTTGCCTGGCGGGAATGTAAAGGGGCTATGTATTGAGTCAGTAAGATCAGTGTCTTACTGTCGTGCTACATACTCGTGAAGTTTTCCTCTCTCTCAAGACCGTTCCTTACGTGTGGCCCCCGTTTCCATACAGATTGCCTGAATAGGTGTCTGGAAGTGTGGACACGTCGGAATGGCTGTAGTTGGGTTGCGCTAGGTCCCTTCCCCGTCCACCTTCAATCTCTTCCTCACCTTTCAACTAAGTTATGGTTGTACGACAGCGAAGCACCAGTATTGAACACTTATGTCATGCTGTCGATGATGATGGCCCCTGTTCAGAGACCCCGTTTTGGGTGATATGACCGACAGCCATGAGACTATGTCGAAGAGGCAGACTGTCGCCAATCTGTAGAAGCATACGTACAATATACAAGCACACATTTCAGTTCCAACCTAAACCACCAGACAAGACGAGTATACAGCTGCGTCAGTTCAAAACCGAAAAAAATAGCTGCGATACCATACCTTTACTGTCCAATCCGAGATGGTGTGCTTTTCCAGGACGGTAGTCAGTTGTGAGATGGACAACTTCACAGGGGATTTGCTCAAGCTGGCCAAAACCTTTTGATCAACGATTCGTAATCCCAAAGATTTTGCTCGCGCTTTGTCCTTCTTGTCCATGTTCTCCAGACCCATTGGGCTACTTACTACGATCACACCACTTCCAAGCTGCAGGGGGGGGGGGGGGACAAATGAGTCAAAAAAAAAACAGATCAGTGAATAGGGAGAACGCTTACATGGCCGTTCGATCGCTCCTTGTCAGAGCCGAAAGGCCGGAGTACGGGATTGGACTGGCGGTACCAGTGCTTGCAGACCGGAAGTCAGGAAGTCACAGCATCCTGGATGACTGGTCTCCATCCGGAAGACGACTGGATAGTCGCTAGCAGTTAGTAAATTGCAAACCTGTGAACGAGAGTTTCCTCAAACAATGTCGTTCTTCTTAGGACTGAAAACCCGGCTACAAAGCGTACGTGGCTCTTCAAAGAAGCTTGGGCGAAAACCCATATGGTCAGCATCACCATCATCGTCAAAGACAGCAACATCAGTGCTGCCACTGATGCCTCACTGCCCAGCTGGTGCTGTGGATTTTACCTCACCTTATCTTAATCATGAAACCCTGGGAAATGTCACATTGCAATTGCTTTGCACTGGCTTTTGAAGACACTATCTCACCATTTTGGTAAACTAGATAACACATTGCAATGAGATAATGGTTAGTCGGTTGACGAAATGCACCCATTTGCATACCGATCGAGTTTTGGCTGGAACCAGCTAAATCTTTCGGTCAGGATGTCTTTTTTACGGAAATTAGGGGACTGTGCCTGTCTGATGAGCCCCGAGAAGGGTAGAACCAGTCGTGGGGTGTCAAAGAGTTTTCAGCAACCCTATAAGTAGTGCATTACAAGTCAGTTGACTTGTCCGGAAGGGATTTTCAATCAGCTTCATCAGAGAAACCCTACTATGATCATCTAGAAACACGAGAGAAAAATAAAAACCAAGCGGCCCCAGTAACCAGAACTATAACGCGAAGACAACTAAGGAACCCCATGATTATAAGCCCGCACTCAGCAACTGGTCACGTTCTCTGTGCTTCGCTGGTGAACAGCACCAGATGTCAGCGAATATACACTCATTTGCAAACTAATTTGATTCTTTCGACAGACTCACCTGGAACCCAGCTGAATCTCTCGTTTATGATGTTCTCAGGCAACTGAATGTGCTGCACCAGGCCACCCCATGTTTCAGTCGCTACGATATTTGAAATATCGCGATACATGTACATCTTTGTAATGTACTACTCATAAGGTTGCTGAAAATCCATCGATGGATTTTTAGCAACTTCATGAGTAGTACATCACAAAGCACCAGATGTCCCCTATTCGCTCAGCTTCTCCAATTCCGGAAAACGTAGCGGAGTCAAAGATTGTGTTTCCACAACAACGGAAACGCTACTACACGAAAAACATTTCACACGAAAACAAGGAAAAGTGAACCGGTTGGACAAGAAAGCGTTGAGTGGCATAGGGATTGCCTACGGTCTAACACAACGGAAATTTGCGTGTTGGCGGCGTGGGAGAGCAGGTAGCGCAACCAATTGATAGCAGCGAACACTGATCACACATAGATAGGCTGCTCACCAAACCGATTTACGTGATAAAGTCACATTAGGACGGCAAACTGTCCAAAACTGAACCAGAATCTGGTGCTCACCTTTTCCGTAACAAAAGCACCCAAAGCTTTGCACTCGTCCACCAGCGCAGCTTTGGACTTGCCGTCATCATGTGGACCATCGGTGACAAACACGGTATGAGTAGACAAGGCCCCCACTGGAGGTGGGGCGGAATCTTTGGCGAACAATCGCTTTCGCTTTACGTATTTGTAGTTTTTCCTGTGTAGGAAAGGGAATGGTGTTGAAACAGTAGATGAGGCGCCGGACAAATTAGCCAATGTTTCAAGAAAATGCTCAAAAAGCTTACTGACCAATGAGTCTGGGAAACTCAGAACCTATCACGAATGGTAACCATATCGAGGAAATTTGAGGGGAATCTTGTCGACCGGATGGAAATGTCGGTTGGAAGTTACAGGCAGCCATTGTTGTGGTTGATTGGACGATAATCTCTTTCTGTAACAAACACGTTTGGTGCGTGAGATTCTTTTTGCAGTGAGGGTCCTCCCAAGTATCAAACAAATTACGGTCAGTCCACCAGAATGGAAAATCCGACTGCCACTGGTTTCCTAAATTTGGTGACCTACACTTTCCAATCAGTCGGTGAAACAAAGACAGCCAAACCCTCTGTCCTTTCTAATTACTTGTCAAGTGGTTAGAGCGCGAATTTACTGACCGGAAGGTGCGTGGTGCGAACCCCCAACTTCTGTTTCTCGACTTCCCCTGTCTAGACTTGGGCAACCTGACAGTATCCCATCCCTCGTGCTTCCTTCGGGTGGCATGGCAGCTAGGCACCGAAAGGGTGCTGTAGCTGAATGATCATTTTTCTCCTTGTTCCAACGGAAACCGGGCAGACTATTTAGCGGACATTTGGTGTTCTTCGAAGAAACTCCGGCGATAGCAACATTTGTTTGGCTCCTGAAGGAATAAAAAACTTCAACAGACGAGGTGCCCAAAATCTTTCATGTCTACGCTGTAACACGTTTGTAGAATGCCTTTGACTATGGGACTAGGAACATTGCACGACTGAGCGGAATATAGGAAACCAATAAGAACTCAACCAATACGAAATCAGACCAACCAATAAGAAGTCGATAAGTAATTTATCGCCCATGATATGCAGTGATTTTTCTTGGACTGGCGAAATTTAGCCGAATAGATGCCGAGCACAAGAGTCGACACAACGCTGGGCATTACAAAATTAGACAAGAATAATAAAACAAATAGAGAAGGACCTGAGAAGCCTTTCGGTCAGCAGCTCGCGGCTTAGCCTCTGTGGGATCATTGTACACAAGGAAACACTCACGAGGTTGCCGGCAACTGTTCGACAGCCCAAAATCGGTTTCGCTAGTCTTGAGGTTCGTCAGGTTATTTTCTACTCGAACCGACTCAGTGGTTGGAGCGTGAATTTACTGACAGGAAGGTTCGTCGTCCGACCTCTGCATCTCGACTTCTTCTTTCTAGGCTTGGACATCCTGGCAGTATCCCAGCCCTCGTGCTTTCCTCGGGTGGCACCGAAGTGGATAGAATTTGACAAATATACTTATTTGCATATCAGGAGACCCAACTGAATTCCTAGTTTATGATCTTCGTCAGCTAAATGTGCATAGTTAGGAGGTCAAAATTCAGCCGAATGAATATGTCACAGAGGTTGACAAGAACTTGCCCATACGGTGGATAAAGATTGTCTTCTCGGCACGTGAGGAGACCAATCCGAAGTAGGCATCAAACAGCACGGAGATGGTGGTTGGTTTTCAACGGTAGGGGCGAGAAAACTGACTTTGATGAGATACTACTCAAATGTTACGGGTGCCACGTGGAAAAACCGTAGTTTATACCGTTTCGGACGGTTGAAAGAGGAAGAGTTACCCAAAAGATGGGTAGCATCCAACCTCACTACTTGCGGATGGCACACTTATTTTACTTCAGGGCAGGTGAACTTGAGAACGGTCAGAACAGGATGAACAATTTCGTATACGAGGAAATGGCATGCCACCCAAAGATTGCACGAGAGCTGAGATACTGCCAGGTGCTCAAGCCTACTTCAGGGCAGGTGAACTTGAGAACGGTCAGAACAGGATGAACAATTTCGTATACGAGGAAATGGCATGCCACCCAAAGATTGCACGAGAGCTGAGATACTGCCAGGTTGCTCAAGCCTAGACGGTAGAAGTCAAGAGGCACGATTCGGGTTCGAACCACGAACCTTCCGGTCAGTAAACTTGCGCTCTAACCACTTGGACCATCTCGCCCAAGATTCGAGAAAATGCGTACCTACCATATCAACGTGACGAACAGAGCACAGCGAGCCGACAAACATTGACTTATGCAACAAGGCATGCACACAAAAAAGCGACCATCAATCAGACTTGGAAACCCACAGAAATTCCACGTCGAAATATTCCTTTGGAACCAAGAATGGTTTGCGTTCGGGATCACGTGTCGTGTACAAGCACTTTGCCCACTCGGTTGCCATAGCGCTACACTTGTACTGGCCGTTAGAATAGTGCAACGGCCCGTTTTTGCAGCTGGGACAATCAACTAATGCACCGAACACCATCGCGTCCGAGACGGCTTCGAGTAGATTGGACAAACCAGAGGGCACGTGTTGTCCGTTGTATTCTAACAGGCCAATCAATGCGTCTTTTGACACCTCACGTTCCAGATTGCCTCGCAGCTTCCAAAGTCGATTGCTTTGGAGACGAAGAGCATTCTGCGCGGGGTGGGGGGTTAACACAACAAGAAGGCGGTAAGAACGAACCATTTGGATAACGGATATATCATCATCGTCATAATCATCAACAGCATGACATCAGTGTTCAACACCGATNAAGTGGGCGGTTTACGTCTAAAGTAACTATCATGGGGAACCCGAGACGAGACTGTCGGTGACTCTGCACCACTCCCTGGAATACCGGATAACCAGAACCATTTGACGTCAATGAACTGTTTGGGCCATCGTCTCCAACGCGTGCATCTCATTGCCTCATCCTATTGACCCTTGGTGAAAGCAGGTGCAACAACTGGAACCCGTCTACTTTCGGCACACGGTTGTGAGTGGAAATCGTAGCTTTACACTAATTGAAGGTATTGCGAAAGAAACAAAGTGCAACAAGAGGAAGGGAATACGGCTTCAGAGGCAAAACAACCGATGGAGATCCACACATCTCACAAATTAAGCAGAGAAAAACCGAAACGATGCGAAGACATAAACAAGGTCAACTGGTAACAGAAAGATACTCTGGAAAAACGGAAAAATGGATGTGTGTGGGACCATAACATATCTGTTGATCCTAATCAATATGTTACTGAGTTGTGTGGCGACTCTGTTAACTGTTACTCAACAGTTTATCCACACTAATGCCACAAAAGTCCTAAGGAATGAAAAAAAGATATTTTGGCGAAATAACACGGGTTTAGCTGTTCCGTGTATGCTCCGATCAGTCGCTTACATACACTCGCTTGAACAGACCAACCACGTGGAACGGTTTGTGGGACGCGATCACATCTATCGGACACGACAGTATACGATAGACACAACGCCATCGTGCATGAGGGAGGGGTGAGAATGATAATGAAATATAATAATAATCGTTCAGCTGTAGCACCCTTTCCGTGCCTAGCTGCCATGCAACCCGAAGCAGGGATGCGGGCTG